ATATTTGTAGGAAGGCGTTGGCGTAATTACTTTATTAAAGTGATAATAAAATAGCGACCATTTTCTCGAATTATTTTCTCGGCTTCGTGGTCAAAAGCGTTTGTGCTTACTTTGGTTTTTAAATACTCTTCAAAACTGTGATAAAACTGAGGAAATGGAGCAAGGTATGGTTCCAACGGGGAGCATATAGGATCAAATGGGTCCGCGCTAATAACCACTAGGGAGCATAGATGCGAAAGTAAAACATTGAGTTAATTAAAAATCTTCATTGGGTCTGCATTATTGCTTTCGAACAACTTGTTTACTTTTTGCACCTGAAAATTAGGCAAATAGTAAAATCGGCTAAAAACGGCTAACTTTTTTTTACAAACCGGCTAACAAATCGGCTGCCGGCTAGATCGAATTTTCTCCGGCTATTTGCTATCAAAACCGGCTAAATCTAGCCGGAAAACGGCTAAAATGGCAACGCTGTTCTTGAGGAAAGAGTGAGGAAACAGGCTGTGAAGTATCAAAAATTTCAAAATTCCTTGGACACACACACGAAATAATGGCAATTTTTTCTTGACCGTTTTTTTGAGAGCTGCATACAGGGCTTTAATTTAATAAAATACTTCTTCCTAGTTACGACTTAATTGCAGCTGCAGCCGAAACTAAATTTTAAGTTCGTACTTAGCCAGAAAAGTCGAAACTAAGGCGATTATGAATAGCTTGTAACTTAGGATAGTTTCGACTTAGTTTTGAACTAAATTTGACTATGAATATGCGCCATTGAATACCAGTACCAAAGAACGTAGCATGATTCTATAATAACAGGTTAGATAATTATTGGCAGCGGCGGTTTGACACTCCCTTACAAAATGTTGCATTTACGAAGGACGGAGAAAGGGGTAGAATGACATTTCTTGGTGGAAAATGGTAGTGGTAAACAGTGTTGCCAGTTTAAGCTTTTTGGGGCTAGATCTAGCTTTTTTCTTTGTCGTTTAGCTTCGAAATTCAGGAATTAGCTTCGTGGCTTTTTTCTAGCGTTTTTTTCAAACTAGCATTTTTTTAAGGAAAATCCCCCATAATATTTCTAGAAGCCATACATGTATTACTTCTATATTGGCAGAATCTACAAGTGCAGTTAGCAAACATTACAGTACAGATGTATAAAAAAAAGAAAAGGAAAACTGAGTAATCGTATGTAAAAAATGACACTTGAATTCAAAACAAATAGCAGTGGCGGAACGTTATAAGAAAATTACGGATAATTTTTAGTTTACATTTAACTTCATGTAGCAAATTAAATTATAGAAATGTCGCATTGACGCTTTTTAAGGGAAAAAGAGGTTAATTAAATAAAATAGCTTTACATGCGTATTTTGGTACGCAGATTATTTGCAGAAATTTTAACTAAAAAGCTTGCAATTCTAATAAAACTTTCTTGCTTTTTTTAATTTTGATGAAATTTGATATTCGGATTTATGTTGTTTTTCTTATATAATGAGCTCTACATTAAAAAAAAATAGCGAAAAATATTTCAGATCACTACAATTTTGAATGTGACTACGTTTATACGCACGTATAATTTGCAAATAACCATTTGCAAAATAGTAAACTTTGTCGTATAAACGCTGAGTTAATTTTTTATTTGCAAATAACTAAATCACGCAAATAAGTATTGGTTAGTGGTACTATTTGCAAATAAGCGCAAGACGCCGCCATTCTTAGGCTTATTTTCTTTTTCGATGGTCATCTTATTGCCTTTATATAATCAAGACGTTGCCATTTTTAACTTTATTTTCTATTTCGGTGGTCATATTATTGCCTTTTTATAATCAGGCAATATTAAAAAAGAATTTTTCCCGATCGAATAAATAGTCAGTTAGGTATTTGCAACTTATTTTTATTTTCAAATAGCTAACGTATAAACGTAGTATGTGTTAATATACACTTAGGTCTCTTTTCATGCGCTTTTTTATGCGGATTTGAATTTATGCGTTTTTTGAAACCATTTTTTCGCTGTAGCGATTTTGTTTTTTTGAGGTTTTATTACTTTTTTTCAGCGTGTAAGAGACAATTCTTCTGATAAATAATTTGTCTTTGTATTCTTACATAATTCATGCTTTGTTCGTATGGAATAGTAGCTTATGTCGAAAGGCTGGCTTTATTATAATGTGGCATTCGCAGCATACGATTGTGAATACTTACTGGTGTCGAGCCGTTGAAGAACTTTTGGTGAACTAACGACCAAGAAATAGTTCCGATACTAGCAAGTCAATATTCTTATCAGGGACGTGAACCGGATGAAAAATTTTGTCGGTTCGGTTCAGCGGTTCGAACTGTTTTTCCTCTTTTGGATTGGTTCGCCAAAGCGGTTTTTTTTGGTCTTTGAACCGGGGTTTCGGTTCGGTTCAACGGTTCGAAAAACAAACAAGTAATAAAGTCTAAGTTCGGGCGGAGCCGAACATTCAATACCCGGCGCAAGTATTAAATATATGATTTTCACCTTTCCGAAAGCCACCGCAACATGGTATACCGGGGTGTATCAATTTTGAGTAATTTAGCGTCCTTAAATTTCGAAATATTGAAGTTTCAAGCTTTTCTGAAATTTTCCGTTATATGAAAAGCGGCCTCAATTTTAGTCTGATTTCAATGATTTTCAACGTTTTGCTTTTATTTGGCAAGCACAATAGCCATACCGAGTGTGGTATAAATTGGTAGACCGGTTACCGAGATACATATATGTGATGTTTGCGGTGCCACGCCCGTTTTCCAAAATTTTATCATGAACGTATTTCTTGGTAAAGGATTGTCGCAGGCATCAATTTTGAATACATTAGCTTTAATATTTACTGATTTATCGAGGATTTCGTATTTCTCCAAATTACCGTTATATGGGAGATAGGCGTGGTTATTGTCCGATTTTGCCCATTTTCAATACCATCCGTTCTACGCCCGAAAGAAGTGCGCATACAAAGTTTCGTTAAGACAGTCACTTAATCGATTTCTCTTTTTATTCTGATCACTTATGTATATATTTGTCTATATCTATCTCGATTCGTTTTACCTGTTACAAACAACCGTTATGTGACCAAAGTTATAATACCCTTGTGCACAAGTGCGCTCGGGTATAAAAAATAACGCGCAAGGTTGAGGGTCAAGAGATGGGTTGCCTTTACATTTGATATTGTCACATGGTTAACAAACATGGTAGGTATTACCATGTTTAACAAAAAGAATAAAAGTGGGTACATTTATCTATTAAAACTTAGTTGAAACGAACCTTTAAACCTTTATGGAAAGTGGTTCGGTTTTCGTTTCGGATCAACCCTTTGTGGGAAATTTCGGTTCGGTTAATGGTTCAGTTAATTAATAGAAAAAAGCGGTTTTCCGGTTCAAAACCGCTTCACGTCCCTGATTCTTATTAAGTCTCATCAAAAAATTCCTTGCCGTTTAAAGAATAAAGGGAATACCGCATTATACTAAAGCCAGCTTCCCGACATAAGCTGCTATTCCATACGAACACAGATGTATTTATTGTGGTATTTTTTTTTTTGTTAAAATACAGATACAATTTTATTTATTTCATTACTGTTACATGGAGTAATAAGTGTTGAAGTGAAAAATACATTTTTTTTCTTAATATTTTCTCACTGGATTTTTTATGCGGTTTATTTAGAATTTTTACATAAAGTATCTGAATTTATGCGGTTTTTGAAAATACTGCAACGCATCCCCTGTTTTTGTATGAAAGTGAAGAACCTTTTTATGCGGCTTTCTGATGAGCGCATGTACCGCATAAAAAGAGACCCAAGTGTAGTTATTTATTCCTTTTTAACTGAGTAGTGAATAAGTCTCTACTCATTGAATATGAAAGATTTATGTTTGAGTTAATAATAATAATAATAATAATAGATTTGCGCTTACACATATGCTAGTCTTTGGCCGAGCTTCTCCTCCGATTTGTGGCGTGCGCCTTGATGTTTCCACACAAAGTGGAGGGACCCACAGTTTTACGCCGACTCCGAACGGCGATTGTATTTTTATGAGAAGCCCTTTTTCATGGCAGAAATACACCCATTGCCTGCCGAGGGACGACCGCTGTTTAGAAAAAACCTTTTTTCTATATTTTTTGCGATGTTGCTTTGACCAGGGTTTGAACCCAGGCGTTGCCGAGTGGAAGCGCGCACTGTTTACCACTACACCACTGCGGCGTTTGAGTTAAACATTCTAAAATAATAAATTGGTAATCATTTTAAAGATTTTCAAATCGGTTTCTTAATTTCCAGGTAGCTTAAAGCTTAAAATAAGATTTTAATATTTCATCATAAAGTTTTAGGCGCATATTCATAGTACTAGTTAGTAGTTTAGTACTCAACTAAGTCGAAACTATTCTAAGTCACAACTAAAGCTATTCATAGTCGCCTTAGTTTCGACTTTTCTGGCTAAGTACCAACTTAAAATTTAGTTTAGGCTGCAGCTGCAACTAAGTCGTAACTAGGAAGAAGTATTTTATCAAAATAAGGGAAAACAGACGAAATATGTAAAAATTAAGTTGGTAGAGGGTGATTTTGATAATATTGAATAATCTCCCATTAAAATTTAAAAAGATTGATCCATTTTAATCGGAAGATGAAATTAAATGCGTATTACAATTCGAATAAAGCTACATCACAATTTTATAATTGGAATAATTTATATAAATTCTCAAATAATAAGTCAGTTTCACGCTAGTTCTTTTAAAGTAAATTTGTGCATAACATTTATATTATGTCCACACGGCAATTAAAACAAGTTGTTTATGACTCATTCGTGATATTACTTGAAAACATGTTAAAAGTACGTGTTTTCGCACTGCAAAAACTGTCAAACTTTATTATGATCCAATCATAATAACCTCGAAAACAGTTAAAATTTCGCTGTGTTTTCATAAGCATCTCTGTGTTCGATAACTTTTTGTAAAAACAAAATCGATGGTTTGCCGTCACTAGTTGAAAAAAAGAATAAGAACAATAATAAGAAAAAATCTGGATGGAGAAGAAAAAAAGAAATATTTATAAAAAGCGAACTGCATGGTGCGCACAAAGCGAAGCTTTTCTTTTGGAGCTCTGGGAGGCAAAGTCGGTGCAGCTGCGCAGTGTTCGGAAAAATTCCCATATATTGGAGGAGATGGCCGGTGAGTTAAGGAGTGCAGGTTATGCTATTTCATCAAAGGAAATTAAAACAAAAATGCATAACCTGACCACGAAATACAGGTAATTTTGGTTTACAAAGATAAAAAGTAGTATACTAAACTTTATCCTATACTTTAATAGAAATGAGAAAGCGAAAATAGGCCCATCAGGTGGCTCACCATCCGACTGGCCTCTGTATACCCATATGAATGCTATTTTTGGCAGTTATAAAAGTTACAATGTTGAGAAAATGGTGGAAGACAGCATTATAGGTGGGCATATTGAATTTATTAACATAAATGATATTTGTACATTTGGCGGTTGTATAATACATATGTATATATATACATACATATTTACAGATTGTGACGGCATCCAAAGTTCCTCTATCTCACAATTTATTGAGTCGGAAACAGATTTTGATGATGAAATTTCGTTTCTGTCGGATATGTCCAATGCTGTCGAATCTCAGGAACTCATGGTAGCGTCTTCAATAATGCCGTCTGCAGCTGAATCCGGTTGCATTACCGATTCCGTGCCAATTGAAATATCACCACCGCCAACCCCGTCAACATCACGAGCAGCTAAAAAGAAGTTGAACGTACAAAAGCAAATATTAGTGCATATGGATAATATGGAAAAAGAGTTCAATGAAACAAAAGTGGAATTAGTAAATACAAACAAAATGATGATAGAAAAAAGTGATAAAGAGATTGCTGCTGAGATTGCTGCTTCCATCAGCATTGACTGCCGTTTTTTCAAATATGAAATTTTTAGGATTAAATACAGCATTTGTTTTTGAAAATACAAAATTTGCTTATTCGCGTTGCCCAAAACTGCATTTATGAATATAATCGCATCCAGGAGTTTTATTAAAAGAAAAATAAGTTTAATAAGTTGCATTCTGGTTGCTTTATTTCACTTGGAGCAATAGAGAAATGTCAACGAAAACGCGTTAGTAAAAACGACGAATGCCGTTTGGACGGTTATGTTTAATATTGAAAACATCTCCTGAAAACAACTTCTTTTCATTGCCGTGTGGACATAATATTAGATATCTACTATTTGTATGTTTCACAGCATGCTTTCGATAAACATCGACTTCACATCACTGCGGTTGTTCTGGCTATTTCACACAATTAACAAGAAAATGATACTTTATTCTTTTGCATAATCATGCAATGAAAGTAAAAATTACATAAACGGATGATCAAACTTGACATTATTTAATAAAAATGTAATTTTTCCAAAATATCGTAAAGAAAACTCGATACATTTTCACACTCGTTTTGCTTTGTCGTAAACTAAGTCGAAACTACTTAGTAGAAGTCTGAAATGCGACTATGAATAGAAGTAAATTTTAAGTTGGTACTTAAATTTAAGTAGCAACTTTGTTAGTTTCGACTTAGTTGCTGGACTATGAATACGCGCCTTAGTTTTTATAAGCAACCCTGCAAGAACAGTGACCATCATTTGACAAATCATTTGACTGGCAAGGCTGATAGAGATTTCTGTCACTGGCTACCTACAAGTTTCTATCACATTCTAAAGGGCAGTGTGAAAAATCTGATGTAAACATTTGTGTACATATGATCTTCCGTCTTCCTCCAACTTATGGCCTTATATATTGGTCTCTTTTTAACCAACGCAAAATTTGCAAATGTGTTAGTAAGATAAATGAGAATGTGTTAGTTTCCATCACACAATTCTTGTAGGGAAACATCATCAACAAATGGGCATCAGTGTTGCCAACTCATTGGATTTCGCCCATAATTTGGGATTTCGCAACATAAAAGGGCGCGTGGGATTTTGCGTCTCATTATGGGATTTTTAGCTAAATACAATTTTATGGTTCTATTGCTTTTTTTATTTGCTTTTAATTCCAATATGACGGGTGGGACATTTAAACTTGCTTTTCCCCAAACTTTAATTAATTTCTTTTTAACCCTTAATTTTGCAAGTTTCAAACTGTTAACATCTGAATTCAAACAACAGTTTAACACGAAACGAATGAAGTAGAAAACTTAGTTATATGATTTACACTGAAAATTTTCATTTTCCCCAAGAGTGACGGTCGAGACAACGGCGACACCCACCTCTCTGAGTGAATGGATTCGTTTGCCATTTTAGACAAACTTTATATCAAAATATTTCTTGCATAGAGGCGTTCTCTAATATAGTTAGTATAATGATAAGGTCCATTGTATGTTTTTATGGCATTATTATATTTGATAAAAAAAAACTTTGAGCTTGTGACGGGTGGGACAATATTTTGTGACTGGTGGATCGAGTCTCTATTCAGGACACATAGGATTTTTGCACTTTTTCCCATAAAAGCATGAATTTCATATTAAAGCCGTTTGAAACTTCCACTTCATTACACTAAATTATTTAGGGCTATAAAACTGCATATCCAAAAATATTTTAAAGATTTATACCCAAATTCATAAAAAATTAATAAGATTATAACTGCTTTATAAATCGAAAATTTGTATGAAAATGTCACTCTGTAAAGCTCTTTAAACCTATTGTATTATTTATGAATAAGGCTATTAGATTAAAAAATACTGAAATTTTTACGAAACTTTGTTGAGTTTTCCTAAATTTTGTATAAAGTGTGAATCTGTGATATGATTTTGGTTAAACCTCGGACGGTATTTTTATAGAAAAATGCCAAGAGAACTAGCTCGAAAAACATTACGAATATTTACAAAAAAATCAACACGTAGTCATTTGTTTGAGTCACTGTATATATTGTTCTTAAAAACTTTTAATATTTAATATTGATAAATGGGATTTTCGAATTTTAAAATGGGATAAACAGGGCGTTTTTCAAAGGAGAATGGGATTTTCGTACCTTTAGAGTTGGCAACATTGATGGGCATAACAACCCCAGAGTAAAATAATACCCTTCAAATTTATTCTCAAGCGCTACTGAGGATACGTCAAATTCGCTTGAATGCATTTGTCACATATATTCACAGATACTAATACATGGAAAACCTGCGCATGCGCAAAACGTAGATTTGGCTCAAAGCTATCTCCTTTTGATTGCTGAATCCAAACACATTGCGCAGATAGGCAGTGAGTTTCATGTAAACATCCAATTTAAAAACAATTTATGCCTTCATCAGTTAAATGTGCTTTATATGCATATACAAATAAACATATTAGGGGTATTCTCGAAGTCTTGCACGATGCACGGATTGCACGAAATGCAAAAATACTATTCCAAATTTCGAAGAGTACGAGAACACCCCATTGCAAAGTGGTAGCATGCATGGGGAGCAAGCAGCGAAATTATGTATCAAATACAATAACAAGAGACAGCAAAAAAAAATTAAGTGAGCGAGATGAGAGGAATGAGAGAAATATGTAGCAATTCCAACAACAAAACAACTAGCACAGGGTCGCTATTATCTTGCTATGCTATTTTGCAAAATATATACATGGGTTTCGACGTTGCATATTTTGCAGCGATAGGAAATGTTGTTTCCCATGAATTTTCTTGTTGTGTGTTTGCAATTTATGCAATCCGTGCAATCCGTGCTACGTGCAATGGCTTTACAAGATTTGGAGAATACCCCTACTGCATAAAAACGTAGGCTTCTATTTTATACGTAAGCTACACTTTTTCAAGTAAATTTGCAAAGAAGCAACACGGTGCCACTGCTATGGGAGCGGTGCGAGAGAGACAACTGTCAGTTTATCTAACCTTTTATTATTTAGAGCAGCCGTGCCTAGCGCAGGGCACTTGCTTAAAGGCTAACCTAATATTCGCGGCTTGCGTTTTGGTACGCACGCCGTCGAATTTGTTTTTTGGCGTCACCCGAAATTGGCTTGCGTGCGTTTGCATTTGATTTCATTGAGCGAAACGTCAAATCAAAATGTCACGCAGAACAAAAATAGGAAATTGAGTTAGCTTCATACGCACGCCGTTCAATTTCGGTTGGTCCCATACAAGTTGTATGTGCATGAGAAATTTTTGACAGTAAATTGGCGGCGTGCGTGAATATTAGGTTAGCCTGTTATGGAGTTCTGCCGGCGTTGGGCATGCCTGATTTAGAGCGTTCCAGAACGTCTACGATTTGCAGGTTTTGCAGGATTTAGTCCAAAGTCGTTCCCGTACGCCACATTCACGTAAGGTTTATTAAAGCCGAAAACAGCTGTTCTTGTAAAACCTGCAAATACTAGAGGACGGGAACAGACTAATTGAATTATGAGGACGTAGATAATAAGGAACAACGCATACAGCAGCACTCAGAGTCGTTTAATGATTACTTAAGGTTTCCCTCAGTAACGATTTGAAAAAATTCTCTCTCAGAGTCAGTTAATGATTCGTTAACGGCATTTAATGAACATTAAAATTAAGTAAACAAAAATCTTTTCTTAACTTTTTAACGATTGATTTTGAAATTTTTTGTTTGTTTTCAATAAATTCAAATTTCGATAACGTTGCTGTAACAGTGAGCAGAGCATTTTCGTGCCATTCAAGAGATCCGAGTTCAATTCTCGGCAACGATTTTTTTTAATAAAGCGTTTTTAAGTTTTATTGCTTAAAAAATTAATATTTTTTATTTTATTTAACGTTTAGAAACTTTTTTAATTCATATTTTTTCTTTTACCTTCAGTTTCTCAAATTGTTTGTTTTTCTTGTTTAAAATTTTTTTTTCATTTCGTTTAGTTTTTAGAAAACTTATTGCTAAACAATAAATATAATTGAGGGATTCACAACGGTGTCATAAGTGTCGAATGTCGTAAACTTGACAAATGATATAAATACTTATTTTTATATTTAATTTCAAACTGAACGAAAAAAGTGAGTGATGCCACAAAAATTAAAAGCCCGCAACTGGGGCCATACTTAAATTTTTCATTTCATAATTTTGAACTCTGAGAGGAAACATTAATTAACGGTTTTAACGATTATTAGTTAAGTGCCCGTTAGAGCTAATTTAAGAAACGTTTCTGAGTGCGGCTGTTAAGCCCAATTTAAGATGGCCTACTTAAGTAGAGATTGTAGATTAACTTCCACAATTCATTTTGAGATCATACATTTAATCTGTACTTAAATGGCAAATATTGGCTATTTAAATATGAGATATGCAACCCTGTGTATCTACCAAACAAACAAATACCCTTATCAACCGTCTCGAGTTATGCTTGATAAAAAACAAAAAATATTGCCTGGAACGCTTTCCTGCAAATCATGAATACCAGTTGCGTTCCAGATGCTTCACGATATTCCCGATTTGCATGAACAGTTGTTTTCTCCATTAATAAACCTTATGGAAGGTGGTCACCGGGAACGGCTTCCTGTAAAAACCTGCAAATCGTGAAGCATCTGGAACGCAACTAATGTAATCAAACAAGCAAATACAACAACAATTTCAAGAAGCAAGCAACAGTGTTGCCACTTCTTTGGCATATTAAAATAAAGGTGATTTGAAACCCTACGAAAGCTAAATGACACTTAAACAACAATCCACAATTAAACTAAAGTGCCGTTTAAATATTCATTTCAAATTGGCCTTTAGGCCCAATTTCAGATGGCCTATTTAAGTAGTGATTGTTGAGTAACTACAGCAACTTGTAGTAGTTTGGTATTTGACACTTAGGGTCAGTTTTTCAGTGCCAGTTTAAACTTAGTTAAGTAAACTGAGTTTAAATTGAACAGCTGCCTGACATTATTCTGTCTGTTCGCTGGATGAGCGTTATAGAGGTAACATGGTGGTATTCCTGGTTAAAGGAAAAAAGCAGCGTTGTTGAAATAAAGAAAATTAAAGCTAAACCAATATAACTTCCACGCTCCCTCTCGGGAAGCAGAGATTTGGAATCTGAATATTGAAAGTAAATTTTGCGAAATTTTAAAGGAGGAAGATGGTTCGACCTACTCGTGATGAACTTATTAGCAAATTTAACGAAGCTGGCATCATATATCCAGAAACGACATCGATTGCACAGTTGCGCACTTTATATCAGCGTGAAATTTTGAATCGAGAGCTCGAAAGTGAAAATGACGATCAAGAGGAAAATCCGGAGATGAACGAGTCGGAACTTGACCATCAATTAATTATTGCACGAAAACGACGAGAATTGTGAGAATTGGAAGCTGAATAAGCATCTTATCGAAATTTGGGCGCACGTGCGGGGGTGAATCATTTTAATGGCGACGATTCACACGATATTCTGAAATGGTTCGATGATTTGGAAGATGCATTTGCCCTGTTTGGTTGTTCGGAACGTGACAAATTTATAGCACACGACGTTTGTTGGATGGATCGGCAAAAATGTTTTTACGCGGCATCAATTCACATACCTATGAGGAGTTAAAAGCGAAATTGATTGCTGAATTTGGTAGAATTTGTTCGGTTAGAGAGGTACACAAACTGTTGGAGTCGCGTAAATGGAGAAATGGTGAAACATTGCATCGTTATGTAAAGGAAATGCAGGAAATTGCATCTCGGGCACCAGTTTCTGAGAGGGATTTGATCGGGTGATGGTCTAAATGACAAATCATATGGCGCGGCAGTCTTATGGGCTGTTTTTGCTTACGCGCAAAAGCACATTTAGCGCATTTAGCTCTAAATGCTACTCTAAATGTACATTTATCCATAAAAAATTCGTCACCTAAATGCAACTAAATGCAAATCCATTTTTGCATTAAGAATCTAAATGCTAAAAGCAACCCTGCGGTCTTCCAAAATTTCCACGATTCGAACATGTTTTAATGAAAAAAGTGGCAACATTGCTTTTTCGCGTATACAGTGGCTAGCTGCGTTTCAGTGATCGCCTATCGAGATTTCATTTATTTTTTTACATCTATGGGGCATTTCACCTCAAGTGACCCAACTTTTGAAATCTATGTCTTCCGATCGGGATGAAATTTGCACCAAGGTTAGTCCCAAAAAAATAGTAGTTATGACACAAAATTTCAATGGGATCGGTCAAAACACTCCGAGTTGGAGGGTCTAAAATTTTGACATTTTGGTCAAACGGCCATTTTTTCGGATCCATATAACTAATTACCTATTGTATTTAGAAAATTTTTTCAGGAATGTTTTCGATAGATTTCTCTTCAGTCTTTACAAATTTTATTTTTTTTAAATTAAAATGAATTTTTTTAATTTTTTTTTTTAAATAAAAAATAATTTTTATGTTTTTTTTTCAAAAAGGGTTATTTTTTTTTTTTTTTTTTTGCTCAAAAGAAAGCTTAGGTATTTTTCTTTAAGAGCTTTGTGGTCGCTTAGTGGGATGCAACTTGTGTATCAATCAAAATTAGCGTTTAGTAACTCGAAACAGCGGTTTTTTTAATTTTTAATATATGACCTATTGTCTTCTTTTTTTCGTATTATTGTGTAAGTGTCTCGGAAACCTGAAAATAAAACTTATATGAGAAGGTATATACAATTACCTTTTCAACGGTATATAACACGCCTAACCAAAGTTTCATACCCTCGATACTGCCATTCCCGTAGTTAAGGATGATTAAGATTTTTCGTAGTCTAACACAGTAGGTACTCGATTTTGTGCATCCAAACTCTTTATTAATAGCTTTGCAGAATTTTGAGTATTAGATTTGCATACCTACTAGCACAATATTTAAAAGGTATGAAGAATATGGGATTTTCCGGTAGTTAAGGATGATTAAGATT